TTTTAGAAGAGGCCAGTAGGACTTATGCATGACATTCCAATGCATCCTAAGAAGTGGCTAGGCTGGCTTCTTGAGGGAAAGGCCCTGGCCGACATAACAATCTTGGTAAGGATAACAGCACTCTACGAACCCTGAGAATCTAACATTCCCACACTTTTCAGGAGCTTTCTCACTTTTTCCGTTTGGATGTTCAATCTTTGGGCTACCTGGCACCATTTTTGGGAATTGGGAAATTCGAAAATAAAAATAAACCAACCTTTTAAACTGTAATATAAATATATATTTTTTTAACAAGGATAGCAGAATACTAAACAAAATGACATAATTGGTCGGAAGGCATAACTTTACTTTGCCCTGCCCTAATACGTGAGATAGATAACTGCGTGAAGTTCCAAGGTGGAGTTCCTGGTCTATGAAAAGTCACTTCTGTTCTCATAACACCAAACAACCAGAGGTCCAGGTGTAGTCAGGACTGAACCTTTGTGGAGCTTAATTCCTACAAGTCAACACACTGACTCCTGATCTTCCTGAAAGAGAAGCTGGCATGGCACATCCCCGCACAGTCTGGCTGGAGTCCAGGAGCAGAGTGTGGCTGCTCAGAGACAGGAGGCAGACAATGGCCAGGCATCTCCCTCGCGACACCAACCATAAAAAGGAAAACAAATTATCTTCAGTCTCTGAAGCAGATGCTCTGGATTGGTGCAGAAAAACAGCTTTGATCCTGGGCTGGCATTATCCTTCCCCAAAGGTAATCACTCTCACCGTAGGTAATAATCGATTGCAGCAGAGAAAGCAGCAAAACCGCCACAACCAATGGCTCCAGCCTTTAAGCCAGCTGTAAAGCAAACAAATGACATTACCTGTAGTGACAGATGCTGGGTCAGGCTACATTCACAAAAAGTCTGCATACCCACAGATGCAAAGAAACCAGCTGAAGCATTTGAAGTCATTCAACCTATGAGAGATCTGTAAGACTTCAATGAAGCCATGTACATGATCTAATCCAGTGTGCTTTATCTAACTGTACATTTGTTTAACTTTTCTATTTCCAAAGAATTAGTATTTCCAGTCTCATGAAAATAGCCCCTCACAGGCAGGAAACTGGTTAAGAAAACCAGCCCTTGGAATCAAGTGAAAGCATATGGCCTGTTACCCTGATTTGTTTATGGAATAAATTCCTGGGAAGGTGATCAAAGCAGTCCTAGAGGGAGCTGAGCTTCTCAAAGGCCCTGACAAAGCTGAGCGATGGGGAGACCAAAGGAGAAGTTACTCTCTAAATCATAAATGGCTGTTTAAAGAGCAAAAGCAGGTTTTTAATGATAGCAAATTATCCTGCCTCTCAGAAAATGAGAAGCTTTTTGCTTTGGGTAAGTCAGTGCACAGCAGATGGAGAGTGGTCTAGCAATGGACTCTGCTAGGAAAGTCAAGTCACTGACACCCTATACCACACTCTTGATGGCACGAACTAGAATCTGTCTTTGTTATTTATAGCTGATAATCCAACATTTTTCGAACACCTATATTTGGCTTTCCATGGGTAGAAATCTAAGACTCCTCAACCGCAGAAAGACATTACCGTTATAACTTATACACAAAATTAAAACTGACAATTGTATAGTATTATTAAGAAAAATATCTAAATACTGGAAATGCGTGGAGCTAAAAGTTGAGCAGAGCCTGATGTGGACAAACGGACTTTCCAAGACTGAATGGAACATGCTCTGCTTCCATACTACTCTGCATATCAACATACTCCAGGAATTACTGTGAGGAAGTTCTTCCTATATTTTCAATATGGGGGCAGTTCTTTTTTCTAAGATAGATCTCGTGCTACCAGTGGTTCTCACTTGGGAGCAATTTTGCCCCTCAGGGGACATGTGGCAATGTCTGAAGACACTTTCCATTTCCACAACTAAGGGGTACTACTAGCATCTAGTGGGTAGAGGCCAGGGATGCTGCTAAACATCCTTAAATACACAGGATGAGCCCTCCCCACCCCCTTCCCAAAGCAAAGTGTCAGAGCCCAGGATGAGAAATTCTAATCTAGATACTAGAAGTTTCCAAAATTGAGTTGACACAGAAGCAAATGTGATTTGTCAGACGGGGAGAATATCGAGTATCCACATATGCTTTGGGCTGTCCCTGGAACACTCATATGGTTGGAAATGTTGTCCAAGCACGTTATCCAAGGCCCCAAAGAAAACCACTCAAGAGTTGTTTACTAACCTCTGAAACCAATGGCTCCTCCAGTGATGCAGCCACTAATGACACTGTTCCTCCAATCTGATTTTCCCCGGTACTGTGGGTGGAGAAGTACAGTTTAGAGCCAAAGAAACAAGCCAAATAAGTTGATTAAGGAAAAAAACGTAGGGTTTCTAGTTGGCTAATTTAGTCCCTCCCCAAAGGAAACCTAATATTTTTCTCTTTCAAAAGTGATTCCTAAAATTTGAATGTGTTCATAGATGCTCCCTGCAGGTAGTACCTGAGTGCTGACACCAAGTGCAGCATTTAAGAAATAATCAAAATCCCTTCTTGGGTTCCCCAATAAGTCTCTTGTTTAAAATCGTTAACTGACTCCCAGCCTACGAAAAAAAAAAAAAACTAAGAAATCAAGCAAACCCAAATCATAAGCACACAAAGTTTATATTAGGGGCTATTTATTGGAAGTTCAATCTAGCAACTATCATATGTTTCTGATCTGCTTTCTAATAACATTAAGAGCACTACTCTTTAGAAGTTGTAAGATGGCAGAAGACAAGGATTTCTCAGAAGGGAGAGACACTTACAGATTCTACCAAACACTCAGTGCAAGAAAACATGGCACCCACGATGGCAAAATTTTTGGCGTAGGACATTCCTCTCTGCCCCATGTCTTTAAGAACTTCTTTTGCCGTCGGTGTACGGTAAGGATCCTTAGGGTCAAAACCCACATTGGTATCAATGCCGGCAGTGAACACCCCAAATGCACCTCCCAAGACAAATCCTAAAACAAACACAGAGATGAAGATTTCTCAGGCATGTTTTCTGGATTACTGTAATGGGGTCATACTCATACAGCACCTTCAGAAAAGAAGACACCTTCCCTTGCAACACAAACTGTCCACCTGCCTAATTTCCACCTTACACAATCCAGGATCTATCTTGTTAACAGCTTCTTGTCTGTCTCCTCTTGGATTTCTTCCTCGCATTTTCTCAAAGTTCGGTCTTTAACCCTCTGTTCTCCCTCCACATTCTCTCACATGTAACCAGTCACCCTTGAGTTCAGCTATCAACTTTGCAACTCACTCCCCTGACAATGGCAACATTCATAATAGTCATTTAGTGAGTACCAAGTGCCAATTACTCTGACGTTTTATAGTCCCAGCCTCATTTATTCCTCACACTAATCCTGTGAGGAAGATACTAGTATACTCTCCTTTCTGTAGCTGAAGAAACTGAGGCTCGGAGAGGTTAAGTAACGTCTCTGAAGTCACCTGAAGTTACCAAATGGCAAACACTACACTGCTGTCCACATCTGAGCTTCCTGAGCCTGCTGGACATTCCCACAGGGAAACTGTCCTCTCATCACCTCAAGGTCAATACAGTTGACCCTTGAACAATGCAAAGTTAGGGGGTGCCAAGACCCCTACAGTCAAAATTCTGTGTATAACTCTGACTCCCCAAAAACTTAGTTGTCCCTCTGTACCTATGGGGTACTGGTTCCAGGACTCCCCGCAAATACCAAAATCCACAGGTGCTCAAGTCCCCTATATAAAATGGCGTAGAGTAATGCATACAGTTGGCTGATAGAAACAATACAGGTATTTATCGAAAAAAAATCTGTGAAGTGGACCCAAACAGTTCAAATCCATGTTGTTCCAGGTGAAATTGTCTATGTTCAATGAAATCATGGTCACCTCCCTTCCGGACTTTCTTGATTATGGCTCTGTCTTTCCAATCACCCCAGCTCCAAACTTCAGAGTCATTTCTGACTGTTTCCTGGTTTCCCCCTATAACTCCATGTCCACAATTACCATCCTAGTGTAGGGCCTTTATCACTTCCACCCTGAAGCACTACAAAGACTCATTTATCTCAACAAATATGTAAGTGATTTATCAGGCAAGCACAATGATGAACAAAGACCCAGCCCATTCCTCATGGAAATGTCCTATATAGTCTCCCCATCCAGAGACTTCTTTCCTCCACAACACTCCACCCTGAGTCATGCTCATTACCACTTGTTACTCTCCTAAAAAAAAAAAACATCAATGCC